CTATTTCCCAAGACAAAGACCAACATTCCTCAGTAGAGTCCTCCCCAACAACAGGCATAGGAATCCCCACAAAGGAATATCTCATGAAATCAACATTGTTCTAGATGGCATCTTTAAGCCCACCTCCGACGACTCTCTGTCATATTCTCTGGATGGAATCTTTAAGCCCATCTCCAACGATCTTCCATCATCTTCTCCAAATGGCATCTATAAGCCCATTCCTGATATTATCTACACAGTCAAGTATCATTTCAGACGGGTGCAAATTTCTGGGCACTCTAGTGTTTAATCCTCTTCCACCTTCAGATCACGAAAGACAGACAAGCCAATCTAAATCTTCAGGTTTAAGAAGATTTAACAGGGGCAGTTGTTGTACCCTAAAATTTACCCTCTCATTTTACTCAAGACATGCTCATTGAGGTTCTCAATTGCTCAAGGATGAGCAAGAATTGACCAGACAAATTCTCCTCCTAAGGCAATAAACCTCTAACTAGGGTTTCAGTTTTCATCAAGATGTGTGAATCCCAATGGTCTCAAATGTTTCACATTGTCCTAATATGTCCTCAAGGTCATCCATGCCAAATTTCATGCCCTGCACAACAAGTTTGCTCAGTCAACTGCTCAAATGCCTTAAAATCAACTATACTAGGTCAAAAGTCAATTGTGGCCTATATACAATCAAACTTCAATATTTTTGGTCAACATCAACATTTTGATACATCATTTGATCAAGGGTTTCTATAGGAAAAGTCAACCAAACTTTGATCAGACATAACTTTCTCATACTTTATCATAAAGTTTTCCAACAAAGCTCATTTTGAAGAGAATCCAATTCCCTACAACTTCTCTTCATCCCTAAAGTTCAAGAAATGCACCATTGGAAAGATACAAGCTCATACGTTATAGGTCCTTTCAAAAAGTCAACAAAAACACCTTTTGGGTCAAAGCTCCTTACATGAACATGGAAGATCCAATTGAGATGAAACCAAAAGGGTTGTTTAGAGGACATCCTAAGCTCTCTAAAAATTCCAAGAACACCCTCTTAGGGTTAAAATTGAGAAATATATACATTGTTAAAGTTGACCAATTTTATGAAAATGCACAAAAGTCAATGTGAGCAACTTGGATTTTTTTGAACTAATGGGCGTGGGTTTTGGATCTCAAACATATCCATGGACTTATTCAAGATATTTAAATCCATTACTTTATTTTTATGAGATTTTTTTTTATTTGATTTTTTTTTCATTTAAATCTTAATAAATCAAATAAAATAGTAAAATAATGAATTAAATCCAAAGATTTATTTTATGATCAAATCATGAGCCTAACATCAGAAGATTGAATCAAAATTTCATGCAAGGGCTGATTGGAGAAAATTGAGCAAGTTTTGGCCAAATTTGGAAACATAAAATTCTAAGATGCAAATCAAATCCTTTCCATCCAATCTTTAAGATTCAGTCGATATTTGTTAACCTAATATGATATACTATATATATGCATAAATGTTCCAGACCTAGAGGGAGGCGCAACTACTGCAAAAAGACTTTGTTCATAAACTTGAAATCTCAAAGAAAAGTGGCAATCAGATTTGGAGTTGCAGAAGGATTCAAGGCATTCTGAAGCTTGCAATCAATTCCTGGAGGCATTCTGAAGCTAGGTGCATCACTCTCAAGCGCCAAAACTCTAAGAATCGTGCTCAACATAGTCACAGTTTGTGCTCTCTTTTTTGAAAATGGTTATGGTCATACGTGCATTATAAAAGAATTTTGATCATGCATTCTTGCTTGTATGAATGATTAGAACATATTTGAATCATTAATTTCCTGTTTTGATGAATGTATGACGATATGCCATTGTTAGGGCTTTGACCTTTGATTTAGGGTTTTCAGGTACAGGCAAAATTGAGCTTAAAGATGAGTGCCATCATGCTTGGGGGATCAAACCCAATTGATCCATGGTTTTAGACTTAATTTATATTGCGTGCTATGAATTTTGAGAGTTGCAGGTGCTGTAGTGACAGACAATGTCTATAAGTAAAAATGCATAAGCAAATACGACGAAGGAGTGGGGAAGACGATTGTGTGGCGCAACCCCACTGGCTAGTTCAAACCTGCGCGCGTGTTCTTCAATATTGAATGAGATTCATATTTTATTATTTTTGTTCAATTTGTATATCAAGTTAACAAGAAGCGCAATTGGCAAGGTCAGTAAGCATATGAGGAGAGGGACCTGAGTTCGATCCCAGGTCCAACATTTTCCTATTTTTTTTTCTTGATATTCCTTGCAGGTTCCAGTGTGCTTCATTATAAGACAACCATCCTGCATCCTCCTTCACAACCACTAGATCATCCACTGATCCAGATCTAACGCCCAGCCAGTAGTCCCCACGATGGGCCCTCAAGCACGCCTCCCATTGGATCTCACGCAGGATTTGGGCCACCAGATTTGGGCCCTTAGCAAACTTCAGTCCAGTACCCCCCAATCTGGTTTCTCACCCCAGGCCCATTTCCATTTTTAATTCTCTTTATTTTCTTTTTTAATTAGTTTATATTTTCTTAAATTCTTTTTTTTTAAATCATAAAATCAACAAAAATCATAAAAAATAGGACTTAGGTTTTTTTAATTAAAATTAATTTTTTGCAAAATAATTTAATTTAATTAAATTTTAACTTGTTTTCTTTAATTAAAATCAATTAGAAATTAGGTTAAATTTCAAGTTTTTCATAAAATACCAAAAAATATTTTCATTAAGCAATTAGATTTTTAGGGTTTAGAACTTATTCCTGTCTCAATTTTTGCGCGTTATTATTTTCGTACGATTATTTTTTTAATTATGTAACTGTGCCAGGTTTGTAATAGTCTAATTAGGATTTTAATTTCCGTATTTTACATTTTCAGTAAGATATAATTGTAATTGCCCCGAAGCTTTGCAGTAGCCGTAGGTTTTACTTTTCGCACTATATTATATGCCTGTATATAAACTGCTAGTAAGTTAGGCGTGTATGGCAAGAACTAATCAATTAATCTTAGATCACTAACATCAAGATAAAAATACCTGAAAAAACACACTATTGCACACTTGCACCCTAGGGTATTTCCCAGTTCGGTTGCCTTCGGAAATGGTCATGTCCCTCGAACGTAGGGATACTCTTAGCAAAGACCCACAATTCAAAGTCATCATAAAGATCATAGTCCCTTAATGTCCCTCAAGTTTCCTACGAGAAATGATCTTGTCCCTCGATGTTGCCTACGAATATATGATGACAGTCCCTTCGAAATGCTAAGGTATCTCTACATGTTGCCTTCAATAACCATAAACGTCCCTTACGATAGTCCATCAACATCCAACGATAGGGCTACCTACTCATTAATAGTAGGATAACGCTGTTTAAAGGAAAGGACGAAAAGAACGCCCTTTTTCGAGTAGGTAGATAGTTCTTAAGTACTTGCTCAAATTTAATTCATTTTTACACCGCACTTTCAAAACTCTTTTCAAAAAATGCTTTATCACACTCTTGAGGACTGATACAAGACTTATCATAAAGCAAACAAAAACCTTTTCAAAACACACAAACACGAAAGAAATTTTCAAAAATGAGCAAGTACCTAAGAGCCCGTGGAAAACCACGGATAGAAAGGGTGCTAACACCTTCCCTTTCCATAATCTACCCCCTTACTCAAAATCTTAAAAAAGGTTTTTTTTCTGTTCTTTTCACCTTTTCCTTTATTGGATAAAAGAAAAGTCGGTGGCTACTCTTGCATACCGCGACATTTGCAAATATAAAATGCAAAACCAATATTAATAGTCGGTTCTACCACCGTATCATAATGACTCTATTTGCAGCTTCGACTTGCTCGTTAGTTTGAGGGTGTTCGACCGAGGTGAAGTGCTGCTTGGTGCCGAGCTTGGGGACAAAGTCTTGGAAACCTTGATTTGTGAATTGCGTCCCGTTATTGGTGACGAGTGCTTGTGGTATCCTGAATCGGGCAAGTACGTTTCGCTTGTAAAAATGCAGGATATTGTGTGAAGTGATTTTGGCCAAGGCCTCGGCTTCTATCCACTTCGTGAATTAGTCGACCGCCATGATCAAGAATTTATTTTGATACGAGCCTTACACGAAGGGTCCGAGGATGTCCATTCCCCACCAGGAGAACGGCTACGGGGATGACAATGTTTTGAGCTCTTGCAGGGGCGCCATGTGCATGTCCGCGTGTCTTTGACATTTGTCGCATTTTTTGACGTGTTCCCTTGCATCTTGCTGCATGGTCGGCCAATAATAGCCCGCCCGCAGCGCATTTTGTACTAGGGATTTTCCACCCAAGTGTTGGGCGTTGATCCCCTCATGGATTTCCTGTAGTATCTTGGGGGTCTTGGACTCCTCGACGCATTTAATTAGCGGGATGGAAAATCCTCACCGATAAAGTTTTTGTTCGAGCACCACGTACGAGCAAGCTCATCATTTAGTCGCAACCGCCTCCCTTTGGTCACCGGGAAGTTCCCCCTTTGTCAGAAAATTAAACACTGGGGTCATCCAACACGAGTTGTCCCTGATGGCATTCAATCATATGGTACGGTGGACTTTTCGATGCTCGGGCGAGAAAGGGATTCTTGGATGACGGATTTGTTCCCACCTTTCTTCTTCGTGCTCGCGAGTTGATTGGATAGCTTGGAAAACATGTGGATCGCATAAAAATGAGGAAAACCCTGAGTTCTCTTTCACATTGCTGCTTAACGAAACAATCAATTTTCATGACTCTTTCTTGCAAAGAAATACCTTAATTCCCTGAGTATGAGCCTAATGACATGTATGTATGCATATGATAATGAAGTATAAGCCAATTAGGTTTCAAATGAAGAGGGGAAATTTTGGGGTACAACTGGCGCCACCCCAAACCTCCACAGCTTTCCCAATTTTTGGTTGAACTTCAACCGTGAAACTCAACAAAACCCAGAAAATCTCAAGAACCCTAAGAACCTAATAACCCTAACCCTATACCCCATGAACACTAGCCCAGAACCACCACAAGCGGCCGCCAAGGTTGCCGTGTCTGATGAGTGTTTGTCGGAAACACCTCATTCTTTCCAGAAACCCTTAGAACCCTAACAATTTTAGAACCCTGACCCAAAAGGTGATGAACCCTAACCCAAAAACATGAAGAATCCTAACCCTATCAAACCCTAACCCTCCAAATTTTCCAGAAAAACACATATTTGAACCATAACCCTATGAAACCCTTCTTTTCAATTTTTTGTTCCTTTCTTAGGTTTTAGGTTTATGAATTTATAGTCTTAGGGTTTAGTTCAATTAGGAAGTAGATTTAAGTCTGATTGTTGTTACAAAATAGATTTAAATCTGATTGATTCAATTAGGAAGATTTTATTATAAAATTAGAATTAGGGTTTTGATTAATTATGTATCTGGACATTAATCTTGTACAAATTCGTATTAATATGAATAAAATTTCTGATTTGATTTGATTCTAAGTTCTGGATTTAGGCTTTTAGTTGTTAGCTTAGTGATGAAGAGATACAAGGCGCAATTGGGATTAGGGTTCTGAAAACCCTAGAGTTTGACTTTAGTCAACTTTGCAATATCAATAAATAAAACAATAATACAAAAATAAATAATAATAATAAATGATAAAGACGTTGATCCTGGGTCAACCAAACTAAAAAAACAAATAGGGATAATAATATTAATAATAATAACAATGTAATTTATAGTTGACTACCGGTCAATCAAAATTAAATAAGTATTTATAAATAACAATAATAAAACCCAATTTTTTTCTCTTTCTTTTATAGCTTATCTCTAGTCAACAAGGCCTTAAAATGGCTAAATAATACATTAAATAATGATCTTACCGGTTAATCAGAACCTGTAAGGTGGCCGAATGATGATCTTCAGACTGGCTGAAAAATTGAGGAGGAAAAATGGGGGTTGTACCTGTAAGGCACTCTGACGATCAAGTAAGTGTGGGAGCAAAAGAGGTACACGTAAAATGTTAGGGTTTTAGTGATGAGTAGTGGAAATTCAATACCTGACTCTCACATGAGTAAAGGTTTATATATTGCCACTGGAGCTTGGCCATTGGTCCCTATTTTTGAGCCTAGATATGCAGGTCCACAAAAATAGGCAACTGTCAGAACTTGGTCAAACGGGGCAAGTGTGCCCGCAACTAGCTGTTGGTTTCAAGGAGGAGGTAGGTTACGGGAAGTGGTTTGATTGATTCATGGTTGTCTAGCCGACTTGAGGTCGGTCAGACTGAGAGGCGCTCGTTGGTCGTCGTAGATCGATGCTGGTCTAAGAGGGAAAATGATCGATGGTACCCGACAGAGGGCGGGGGAGCCCAGGCCGTGGTCGCACGGACCGTGCTGAAGGAGGAGGTCAAACTGGGCCCACTCTAGTCGTTGGGCCAATCTAGAACAGTAGCCCCCCAAGTCATTGCTTTCGGACACATGAGTGATGACTTAGAACCAGCCCGTGCGCCGAGGAGGAAAACACACTATTAGCGCTTGTTGTCTGTGACATGGACGTTTCGTGATCTTTACGAGGACATGCTCGTACGTGAAACATTGTTATTTATTAGGTTTATACATGTTTGTATGCTCGTCTGTCTGAGACATTTTATTTTGATCAAAAGTTTCAGAAAATTGCTCGTTAATATTTGAATCCTCCAGTTGAAATGACTGATTGAACGACCTCGATAATCATATAACATATTTATATAAAGATGCACCATCAACCAACCATAATTAACTTTTTATATAAATTTTAGAAAACACAAGCTAAAGCAACTCTCTCCAATAATTTAACTATTATGATTAATAAAATTCATAATAAAAAATATAATTAAAATTAAATTTCAACCAAAAATTAAAATCAAAGTTAGTAAAAACACATATTCCATATCATCTTTTACAATATTTCCAAAAAAAAAAACATATTAATAAATTATGAGCAAAGTTTTTTTTCGAAAAAAAAAAACAATAATATTATAATAGGCTAGGCCAAACAAAACCCGAACCGTTCCCTTACCCGATTAGGGCTAGCCCCACGAACACTTTATGGGAGTCCCACGTGTCCGTTCTAGGCCAAACAAACGCGATATACAACTGCAGAAAAAAGAAAAGTCAGATTTTTTATTGTTTCTAGACACTGTCCTTTATCATTCATCTTCCACGTGTCTCAACATTATTCGACAATTACACCGTTGTTGTTTCTTTTCTCCTCTCATGTTATCGGTTACTTCTTCTTATATATCTCACCCTTTTCTCATTCTCTCTCTCTCTCTCTCGCTCGCTCGCTCATGACTTTTGAGTTTTCATCACTTTCTTTTCCCACCCAACTACGTTTTCTCTAGATCCAACCACTTTCGTCACCAAAAATCGTTTCTTTTCGCTTCAATCTAGCTATACTTAATTCATCATCACTCTCGTTAGGTTTTACTTACCCCTTTCTCTCTCTATGCCATTCCCTCAGGTTTGATTTGATTCATCCCTTTCTTGTTCCAATTATGTTATGGTTTTTGTTTTTGAATTTTGATTTGATTTGTAATTGGATCTGGTTATGATTGTTTCTTGGAGTGATTGAATTTGTGGTGATGGGATGTTTTTGTGTTTTTTTAGTAGATCTTGTGTTTTTTGGAATTTAGGGTTTGTGAATTTTAGTTGAATTGAGTTTATTGATCGGTTTTTTAAAAATTGGGTAGATCTGGTTAGGGTTTTGAATTTTGATGTTTTTAGGTTTTTTTTGTTGCAAATTGAATTGAATTTGGCTGAAGGAAAATTAGGTCTTGAAATCAAGCTCACTGAATATAATTGGTTTGAAGTTTGGTTTGTATTCTGTTCAGACAATGTAGTGGGGTATAATTCATCATGTTTATACATTGTAAAAGTCACTGATGGACTTCAATTTCAAGTGATTGGTGTTCAGTTTTGACTAAAAACACCAAAAATTATCGGTTACAAACCTAGAAAGATCATAAGAGAATCTATTAAAGAAGATCTGAGATTAGGGATTTGGATAGAAATATGGTCCTGGATAAAACATACTCACACAAGTTACAAGTTGATTATGTAGGCAAGTTATGAGTTGATTGTGTAGCCGGCTTCACTTAGTGGGATAAATGCCTGATTGTTGTTGTTGAGGCTTGATTGTAGTTGCTGTTGTTGTAGTATCGGTATAACATTTGGATTCTTCAATACCGTATATTCTCATGACTGTGTTTATGTATATACACTTGAATATCATAAGTTGGATACTTTTAAAGGAATTTTGTTTTGTGGAGACTTGTGAGACATTTCTATAGTTATGTATTTGCATATTATCTATCTGTAAATGAATCATAACTCTTTATGTTTGTGAGTTCTTGCAGTTGTTGACGCCTTTGCTGTATTTTTCCTTAAACTGCAGTTGGGAAGGGTGTACTGGAGTCAAAGTTTAGCTTCTGGGCACAAATTTATTAACAGTATTGCAAACCTGCTGGCCTTTTCGGGATGGGCGAGTGCAAGTGTTGTGGTAAGTTAGGAAGAATGGGACCAAGGGATGGATCTAAGAGTGCTTATGAATTTTCTTTGATGTTGTCACCTGTCGTTTCTTTTTGGGACTGCATTGTTCGTAAAATGAGGTACTCCTACAGACCTGAGTGGGTGTAGTGGTTTGAGCTTTTTCGTTAGTACTAGTCTTCATACTTCAACTAATTAGAATCTATTATTAGCATAATTATAGTTTAGGTGAAAAAAGTTAATAGAAAAATGTATACACTCTAAAGGAATTCTCTTGAAGGATAAAGTTTCAGAACAGTCATTTTAAGTATTTATGTCTTTAGTAAGTTCAATGGATAACATGGCATGTAATAAGGGGCAACATGTGAGAAAGGCGAAGAAGAAACAGGTGAAAGACGAGTTGGATCGTCTTAAGCAGGCTGAAAAGAAAAAGAGACGGCTGGAAAAAGCTCTAGCTACGTCTGCTGCCATCATATCGGAACTGGAAAAAAAGAAACAGAAGAAGAAAGAAGAACAGCAGAGACTTGATGAAGAAGGTGCTGCAATTGCGGAAGCTGTTGCTCTACATGTTCTACTCGGTGAAGACTCAGATGATTCCTATAAAGTTGAATGCAAGACTTGGGATGATTATAATCGTAATCTTGATTTCTTCATGGGTGGGAAAAGAGCTTGCTTTCCAAATCTAGATGGAGGCACATGGTCCGTCACTGCCGAAAATGGCAAGTGGTCTATCTCGTCCGGGCCTTTCGAAAACCGCAATGTGCACGCTCCACCTTATGGAGAAGCAGCATGGGATCCTACAAGATTTTCTGTGGACCTTATAGCAGCACAAGCGGTTAGATCACTCCAGATTGCAGAGAATGCAGATGAGGATAGGATTCTATTCTAGGGGAATGCTTACATATCGGATTAATCACGCGTCTTTGCTGTGGACTGGAGTCTTTTTTTATTTATTTTGTTTGAGGTCTTTCATGTGTATATAACTATATTTCATATTATATATCACGAGTCTTGTGTTTGTCAAACAACACTTTCTGCTTCAGCTGTGATTGAACATGTTGGTAGTGTCCCCATGTTTTATTCTGATTTTCTTTACCTGTATGTGAGGATGCTAATTTTCTTTGTGGAGTGATGACTTTCATACTCAAGTATTGTAGGGAACTATACTTTTTTGAGCTGATTATCAATATAAATGGGGACCTCATGATTTATATACTTTGCACTGTGAATCATATATTACTTTACATCTCATATATTAGTGGTTTTGTGATGATGTTGGTATTTGAAGTACTTCCTTAAATTCATTCTTTTTGCAAATGGAATTGATGATGTAATGTTTTTTGGTTTTTTGCAACTTTGGTGGTAAGCAATGTAATCAGCAATACCTCATGGCTTGCGTCAGTACAGGAATCCTAAAATCTGAGAATTGCTGTTTTTGGAATGGCGTGTGATTACTGTATTGCATATGCTGACCTAATAATGTTAAGATATACTCAAAAGTGTGAGTGTGGTGTAAAAAATATTTGAGTGATTGATTCTTGTACTTTCATGTGAAAAATGCAAAGTACATCTTTCTGACTCGGCACTATAGATGCTTTAACATAGTTATAGATTCAGTTAGAGGTAAGCTAGATACAAATTACTAGTTGTGGAAGTTACTTTTTCAGTATACAGTTTTACAAACAAGGCACCAGTAAAACTAGTGATTTGAATAAGATGTAAAAATTGCAAGTAGCTTTTTGAGTTAAAATGTACATGCAGAAGACCTATGCTTGCTTCCAGTACCATACATCACTCAATGACATGGATTCACCTCATTAGTAATAAGATTTTTCAACCAAGCATGTTGAACTCTAGGAAATTCTTCTTCTATAGGGGAATCATCCATATCAGCTTTACCATTATTTGTAACACAAAACAGGAATCTGTATGCTGCTTTGCATGCTGATACAATCTCTGTTTTCGCTTGTCTGAACCGCGACACTGTATTTGCAGCCATTTCCTTAGCAATATCACCAACGTTAGCAAACCTGTTAACCCAACCTGTCATGAAAGGTGTAAGAATACACAGTGGAAGCTGTAAAATATATTAAAAAGATAACAATTCATCACAAAATTATATAGATTTATTCTCAAGTCATTTACCTGGAGGTTTCGGAACACCTAGTCTTCGACAAAATTCGTCACAGAAGTGGTTGCAGTTTTTGGAGAAAAGATCATAAGAATTCCCTGGCCACTCTCTACTAAGTTCTCTTAATATTTGATTTACCTTGAAAATATTGTAGTTTGTTTTCCCTAGAACAAGTGATTTTCTATATGTAAACATTGTGTTCTTCCCTGAAGGACTACTAAAAACTCCAGTTCCTTCCTCGCAGAATCCAAATGACCATTCTTCATCTCCATAAACCTGTCACAGTACCACAAGATTTTAAGGGAGACTCAAGATTCAAAGATACAATCCAAATAACAGCAAAAGAAACAATGAAGAGACAGTGGATTAAGACCTGAACAGCGCTGTGGAATATACCACCGAGACCAATACCGTTCTTGAAGATCTTGTTGATGTGAACAACGGTGCTGTTCGTCTTCTCCGAACCATTGGTCAAGTCGTACACGTGAAGTGTCACTTTCGCCATCTTCAACAAAAATCAGAGTCAGATTCTTAAATTCTATGTACTCTGGCTTTGAATTGAATCAGAGTTAGATTCTGCTGCAAGAATCCTTCAACCTAATCTCTTTGCAATTATCAAGAATGAAAGTGTTTCTTGAATTTGTATTTGAGAGCGAACAAATATAACTGTGGCATGAAATGTGGCGCTGATCATTATAATTCTTTACTAATGCAGCATAATTTCCTGGCCATTGGTTGAGAGGATTAGAGAGAAAATTGAAAAAAAAAACTTATTATGAATAAGCAATTGATTGAATGAAACAGTGTATATTACTGGTATAGAGAGTAGAAGTTAAAACTATAATGTGTAACTAACTCTATCATATTGGTTATTGTCATAACAGAATTACCAACTAACTGCTAACTGATACTAACACATTAACCGAATATTTTGAATAGTGCAAAATGCACTTTTTCTCAATGACATATTCTTGTAACATTTCCTTCTCTTAGGATAAATGTTTGTATTCCTAGAATATAGAGAAATAGTATAGTATTCTATTGTTTGAATAATTTTAAAAATTATGGAATAGAATGGAAAATTACGACATCAATTTCATTATATATATATATATATATATATATATATATATATATATATATATATATATATATATATATATTTTTTGTTCTATTCGTCCATAAAATATTCAAACTATAGAATAGGACCCATGTTTTATTCCACTACAATACATACTTATAGTATACCTACTACAACTACATGCATAGCTCCTTTAGTTTCATTTCATTGATTGAAATGTCTTTTTTTTCTTTGTTAACCTCTTTGGATTTGTTCTTTTTTTGTATTATTAATTGTAGTTAATGAGGGATCTTGCATACCACGGGAATTTTTTCTTTTATAGGTGTAAGCTGCAAATTCTAAGTCTATTGAACAAAAGTCTAAGTCTATTGATCAAATTCAATGTTAAATTTTGAGAGTTCGGTGAAATATACGAGAAAGCATTAAGAAGCATGTCAACAAATAATGTTTTAAAATGAACTATTGAACCGAGAACTAGACAGTTCAATCGGTTGAACTGTGACTCCGTGAATTGATAGTATTCATTATTCAGTTATAGAGTGGCAATCAGACATGTCTGTTCTATCAAAGTTGTTAAAAATAAGACAACAGAAGCTAACGGACCCTGTCACTCTAAGTCTAAAAGTGTTAAAAGGTATGCTCGTCCCGTATAGACTATCGCGTGCCAAAAAAATGGAGCGGGGCGGTCAGGAAACTTAGGCTTGGTCTATAAAAAATGGTTGGCTAAAGGGGGGTCTGACGGGCCTAGACTGTTTTTCTTTGTCAAGCTGACTAAATGATGGGTCTGATAGGCCTGGCCCGTTTTGCTTTGGCTATACTAAATGGAGGGTCTATCGAGTTTGATCTGTTTTGCTTTTGTGGGCTAAACAGAGGATCTGATGGATCTAATTTATTTTGTCACCTCTATTCAATTGTATAAATAACTCGGTCTTAATTTCTTCTTGATTCGAACAGTTTAAACCAGTTGAAATGTGATATAAAGGTCTCTCCGATTTGATGTCCTATTAATTTTTTAAAACATTGGTCACAAAGAGAAAAAAGTTGAGACCAGCTTCCATAAGAAAGTGCTATTTTGAGTGGAAGCTATAATTCCATTGTCCCACACATGTTTAAGAATTGCACGCAGCTTCTTTTTGGCTGGACCCCAATATATTCGTATCACTTATGGCGGCAAAAAGGGGCCTCCATTTTCTTCAATAGGCCCCACTTAACCACGAGGAATCTGATTTATTATATTATCTCAGACATAATGGTCAGTGATTACACTAATTAGAAATTTAAAACTTACTCTTACTTCTTTTATAGTTAACAATTTTCCACTTATATAATTTGCACATGCAATATCAGCGGAATTATTAAACAATGAAGCACTTGTTCAACAAGTACTCTATGGTGAAAAGTTATGTTAATGATTAAAGATTGGAATTGAAGTTAAAACTTTTAGCTGAAATACTAATTCCAATTGTATCATCCAAACAGACCTTAAACAAACCTACAGCTCAATACAATCAGCTCTAGAATTAACTGTTACCGCAGAACATTAATATATCATACTACAACAAATTTGAAGCATTTTTCCAATGTCAAACAACAATGATATTCAAGCATTTTGTAATAATTTATCAGTGAGCTATAAGAAGCCTAAATCAACTTTTTGTTAGTATATACAAGAATACATATAAGGAAAAGAAAAGAGAAAGCTTAGGCAAGTGAAGTATATAACCAAATATTATTCATCTACCATTATTATTCATGAGCTGGGAAAACACTTGGCTAGTACTAACATCTGAACAATCATTGTCATAATCTCTCTCTATTCTTCTGCTGCTAGAGTTTTCATGAATGGTTCTTGTTGTTTCGTAATCTGCTTCGCTACCACCGCTATCATCGCGTATCACCCTTTGTTGTTCGCTTTCTTGAAGCTGAAGTGCATATTCCAAATTCCACAAGACATCACCCATAGTTGGTCTGTCGACACCGTATTCAGCTAAACATTTCTCTGCTGTTTCGCCAAATTTCTTCAATGATCTTGGTTTGATCTCATCGATAATATGAGGGTCAACAATATGATCCAGCATTCCCTTCTGCAGCCATTCAATAGCCCATTCTGCTAAATTCACCTGTTCTCTAGTCAGTTGTGGATCAACTGCAGGTCTTCCACAAAGAACCTCGAAAAGAACAACTCCGAATGAATATACATCTGATTTATCGGTTAGTTGTTGCCTACGGTAATACTCGGGATCAAGATAGCCAAAACTACCTTTCACACCAGTACTCACATGCGTTTCGTTGATACATGGCCCTGATCTCGAAAGACCAAAATCAGCAACCTTTGCTACATAATCTTCGTCGACCAATATGTTGGTCGATTTAATGTCGCGGTGGATGATTCCTTGAGCGAAGCCAGTATGAAGATAATGCAAACCTCTAGCTGCACCGATGCATACCTCGAGCCGTTGCTTCCAAGTGAGAGGAGGTTGTCGCGACGAACCATATAAATGTTTTTTCAATGGACCTCTTTCGACATACTCATAGACAAGTATCATTTCTGAATTTTCTTCACAGAAACCAACTAATGAAACAAGATGGCGATGGCGAATTTTGGATAAAATCGTTATTTCAGAGTGGAATTCCGGAAGGCCTTGTCTTGAACCTGGCATACCTCTCTTGACAGCAACTTTTACATTGTCTCCAAGTACTCCTTTGTAAACCATACCAAATCCACCAGACCCTATAATCAAGTTTCTATCGAAATTGTTTGTTGCTGATTGTATATCAGCAAAAGGGATCTTCATTCCAAGATATCCATACGAACCGTGTTCGGATGTTCTACTAAGAGAACTCCCTCCGAACATACGCAAAGGCGTCCATCCCACACTTCCGACCGTCGTTTCTTTTGGTCTCTTCTTCCTGCATTTGGTAGCAAGTAGAACAACAGTTAAAACCAAAAACAAAACAACAATTCCTCCAATAACTGAACCTATCAACACCCATAAATGTTTCCTCCTGTGCACAATCTTAGTATTATCGACATCGTTGACAATCTTCATTAGCTCTGCACCATTCAATATCGCATTAATTCTTATAGAACTACTCAGCTCAGAAGGACCAACACTTATTTCAATAACACCCGAATTGTCCGAATTAGCAACAAAATCCACATACACCGGCGATGCAAGAGTGTGAAATGTAAGCGACGACAAATCAAGATCCTTATATGCAATGTAACCATTGATATACACATCAAAGTAAAGCAAATTGAGTGAAGTACTAACTATATCACAGAAATGCAACCGAATCAAGTGCGGAACACCTTCAGAAGCCACAGGAAACTTCCATGTTATGTTAAACCTTGAAGCTAAACTTGTGTTTTCTCTATTCATCTGTTGAGCAGTCATGTAAACATTTTCAGGCGCGATCTCCGGAGTCGCACCTCCCTTTTCGTAATCAGGTGTATGAGTGCTTACTGCATGTTTAGCTGCTTCCTTAAAAACCAAATAATCCTCATCAGGAATCCAAGTCCTCCAAAGGGTATCATTGAAAGGAGTTATTTTCACACCTCCAACATTAATCCTAAGAATAGTTTCTAAAACCTGAGATGAAATGTTTTTGTACTCTTCCATACCAGAAGGACCAACCAACCTTGTTCCATAATCTATAACAAAATCTTCAGGAGCAGTAAAAACTTCCACAGCATTTACAAATCCAAAACCTGAATCAAAGGGTCTAAACAAAATTTCAAGCAAGTTTGACTCAATCTTCAAAATAAACTCTTTAATCATAGCCTCACCAGGTGGCTTAAACTCACTCAGAATCGAAATTCCATTAACAAAAACACTAAATTTTGCAGATTTCAAGTCAAAACCTTGATCTTTAAAAGGAAAGAAATGAAAACGAATCAAATGAGTACCATTTTTCTTCATATTGAACCTGTATCTCCCAGTGGTGACAAAAACTCTAGCTGATTGATACAAAGTTAGCAAATTTGGAGATGGGTTTTTGTTCATGAGAGCAATGGAATCATCTGAAGAGAAAAAATTCAAGCCTGCATTGGTTGAATCACTCATAAAGACTCTATTGAAGAGTGAAGCATTGTTGTGTGATCCACAGTTGATTAAGTAGTTGTCTATAGGAACAAAGGAAAGTGAACAAGGTAGAAAGAAGAGAAGGGTTAAAAAGATAAGGTTATGTTTCTCCATGTATGAATGGTTTGGTTTTTTAGGTCCTTGAAGTGTGTGAAGAAAAATCATGTCATGACTCATGAGAAATATGAGAAGATACTAAACAGAAGAGTGCACTAAACTGTAACAAAAAAGACAACAGAGATAGAAAGATAGTGACTTAAACCACACCGAAAGATTTAGAAGAATATATATATATATATATATATATATATATATATATATATATATATATATATATATATATATATGAGATTTGATTTCAGAAGTCAAAAGGGAATGCTTATGCTTTTGATAATATTTGTTGAAAAAAAGTCATTATTTTTGGACATTTCACACAATCCTACAATAGTTTTCTTTTCTTTGATAGTATGTCATAAATAAGGGTAGGAATTCTGAAAAAATGACTTTAGGTGAATCATTCTATGGTTGAAAAGAATTACTAAATTTAGTATTGGAGGGGCCAGAGAAGGAAGTGAGACCGGACAATGTTTTTTTTGAAACTTACAAAGCTCTTTCTACATGCATGCTCTTATATTATATAACATCAACACAAAATTGAAAGTGTATTTCATGTTCACATAGCCGTAGGTGTCCGATGATCCGATAACATTGTCACCCTTTATAGGAAAGTATTTCGATGATACTAGTAGTAGTAATTAAAATTTTAATTTGAATTAAAATTATATAAAAATAACTGATTAACGGACAATAAACTGCACCGCAATTATTTTAATCAATGTAATATACAAGAATTACATACAAATTACTATCTTATATCCTCACACTAATGTGTCATAATTATACAATATGTTTTTTAAAATATATATTTATATTTTATCGCACCCGTGTAGTTGAATTGGAAGATTGTCGTACGCTTATAGATTTTCTTTGAAATCTTGAAAGAGTATTAGGAGAAGACCATTGATGAAGATATATATCTGCAATTTGATATTGTGATGGAACATGCAAGACGTGTATCTGTCTATAGATTACTTTTTTGCGAATACAATGAATATTCATTTCGATGTGTTTTATGCGTTGATCTTGAACATAATTATTGGAAAGATAGATTGCACTAATATTATCATAGAAGTTTTGCGAACCATACAATATAGTTTTAGAAGTAGGTTACATAACCAACAGAAAGGAGATCCTACATTGGCAACACCACGGTATTCAATCTCAACATTAAATTTGAATAGTATGGTTTGACGTATGGAAGACCATGAGAGTAAGTTATCACTAAGAAAAACACAAGAATTAGAGGTAGATTGTCTACTGTCTATACATTCACCCCAGTCAACATCTCTGTAAGAAATTAGTGATGTAATGAATGAGGGATGCATATGAAAAATGTAGACTAGTAACATGTATGTAGCGTAAAATGCATTAGAGAGCCTGCATGTGATCGTCCATTAGGTCGTCATAATTAGACATAATTGTTGCACCACATAGAAAATGTTTGGTCTCGTGAAAGTGAGATACTGTAGGGCACCAACAAGGCTACAATATAGAAATGAGTCTTCATACCAAGTGTTGTTTTTGGCGCTGAGTTTTGGTTTGGTGTTAACTAAGTGGACATGATTTGCAAGATGACATGTCTACTCGTTCAAAAATTTCTTTTGCATACTTTTTCTAAGACAAAAATAGATCAACATCACTACAAGAAATGCTGAAGTTTGTCAGGGGATTTAGTTAGGAGTTAAACCCTTAACAAAAAAACAAGGTTGTTTGGGGTAAAGCCCCTCGCAACGTGTAAATTATAAATAAAAAAATATAAAATAAGTTGCGTGGGGTTACAATAGGAAAGAGGGAAAATTTGAATTTTGAAATGTTGCATTGCGAGGGGTGCACTCCTGGAAAATAAAAATAGCACCAAAGTACTGTACTTTGCGACAGACCTCCCCAAACTAAATGTCAACGTGACAATAGCGACGGACTACCCCACGCCAACTAGACAACTTTAGTCTAGTCATGACATTGCAGACTGTGTATACAATTGGCATTTTTTAAGACAAAATTTACCGACTGGCTATCCCACATATTACCCACTTCATTACTTCAGTTATATATTTATTGTTTTAATTTTAACAAAACAGTTTTCAACTCCATCTTCTTCTCATCTCTCTATTCTTTCATCCTACCTCCACAACTCCATCTTGTTCCCCCCAAATAAAATCTAAATTTTCAATCACAACATTAACATAAATAATTTTAAGATAAATATGTTAAATTATTTTGTTATGTGTTTAATTTATTTTCAAAGTTAGTGTGTAATATAATTTTTGTTTTTCATGTACTAATTGGCATATGGAAAGCTAAATTTTGGAGGAAAACTTCAAACAAAAATAGCAATTTGTTCATCAATTTCAGGTACACATTAAATTTTTTTTTGTGCATATAATATGTTGATAGATATATTTTGTGTATATATATTTATTTTGTGATATTTTGTTTATAAACTGAAAATAATTTTTTAAAACTATTTTCAAAATTATTTATATATAGAATAACTGAAAAAATATTATTTTTTGATATTTGTAAAAATAGTATGTGTATAAAAAAGATAATATGTATAATTTTTAATATATATTATATTTTTGGAATATATATGATTTTTTTGGAATATGTATAATTTTCAAAATAATATAGTTTCTAAAAATTATATATTTTTTATATAAATAATATATTTATTATTTAAATAAATACTTTGTATATTTCTAAATAAAAAGAAGATAGTTTATGTTTAGGATTAAAAAATTATTGAAAGTTTATAATCAAACAAATATATAATTTATATGTTCAAGAAGAACAAGTAAATTTATTTTAATAATAAGTATGTAGTTTATTTAGGACTAAAAATAATTAAATATATTTTAAAAATAAATATATAATTTATATATGTTTAAGACTAAATATGTTTAGGACTAAGAAATATATGTCTATAAAAACATTATAGTATTTTTAAAAAATGATGAAGTAAATATATTTTAAAAGTATATATATATATATATATATATATATATATATATATATATATATATATATATATATATATATATATATATATATATATATATATATATATATATATATATATATATATATATATATATATATATATATATATATATATATATTTGTGGAATTATATGTTTATTTAAAAAAATATTTGTACAATATATTTTTAAAATTAGGTAGATTTATTGTAAATATATATGTTTAATTAGAGTGAATATTTAGAATAATTGAATAGTAATATATAATTTATTTTTAGAGTAAATATATGTTTAACTAGAGTAAATATATGTTCAATTTTATATATAACTAGATATATGATATTATCGACAAAAATTTAAAAATTTGTCGATAAATCACTCCTCATTTTATTTAATAAAATTAAACATGAACATGTGCAATATGAAATATTATCAATTTTATCGTAGTTGGATGTATGATAGATCATTTTCTGTAATTTGCATGAAGTTTTATTTTAATTTTTATTATGTTTGATTGAATTTTAATTATTATATTTATTATATTAATTTTATTATAATAACATAATTAATAGAATTATCATTATTGATTTTTATTCTATTAATATTAATTTTTTTAATAAATATTTTTACAATTTGTCAAGGGATAAGCTTCAAGGAAAATATCACCGTTTGTATTTTGCCATGGGTTTAATCCCTTGCAAATGGAAAAGCATTTACATTTTGCCAGGGGCTTAACCCCAAGCAAAAATTATGACGCACTCAGCTGACCATCTAGCCTGCGCCTACGTCTGGGTGCTGCAGACTATAAAAATCAAATTGCATTTTGTGAGGGGGTTAGCCCCTGACAAAATGCCGACATATAAAGCCCCTTGCAAATAAATTTACGACCCTCTGTTTTTCTAGGGGACCAGTCCCCTTGCAAATTTCGTATTTGTGAGGGGTTTTTGCCAAGTGACTTCAATATCCAAAAAGTAACTCAGTGGTCCTAAGTATTTCGTAGCAATTTTTAGAGGTTAATCGTGATATGATAGAATTGTAAAGATCATCTAAAAAAGCAATGAGAATAATATCTTCCATGTAAAGAAGAATATAGGTCATGTGTGTATCTTTTCAGTAGATAAATATAGAGTTGTCAGACTTATTTTGAAATAACAAAATAGCATAATCTACAAATCGTTTGTACCATGCTCTTGGAGCCTGCTTGAGCTCATACGAAGGTTCTCGTAGAAGGAATACACGATAAGGATGATTCTGATCCTTAAAACCAAAAGCTTCATGCATGCACACTGTTTTTGTAGAGTTCATGTTTACAGTGATTTCTGGTAAACAATCGCTAGTCCTTCAAACTATCGAATAATCTTACTGACTGTTATTCAATCTCTCTGGTAACTTGCAGGATCAACTAGATTGATCCTAGGATGTGTTGGTCGTTAGGGTAACTCTCATGATAGAACTGGTATTCATGGTTGGTATTTAGAATGCTGTGTAGGTGTTTAACTTATTTCGATTATTCTATTAAAGATCTAAAGGCGTGCTCAAGTAAATTTGCGCGAAACGAAATTGCATGAATAAAGTTCAATTGTAAAGACATGTAAAAACTACATAAAAGACAAGTAAACGACTTCGAAGCATAAAAACATGTAATGTAAAGGATTCTCTGAAATGTAAAAGATTCGAAATATGAAGAAAGCGTTTAAATGCAATAAAACAGTAAAATGACTTTAAGTAAAAAAGGTGTTCGAATGATAAAAGCTTGAAGATAAAGGCATGAAATGTATAACAGTTTCTGAAATGTAAAGTATTTGAAATGGAAAGAAAGCATTTAAATGTAAGGCATCAGTAAAAAGACTTCGAATGAAAACATTTTAAATGCAAAAGCTTTTGAATGGTATTGACATGAAGATAAAGGAAAATACTGGAAATGATAAAGAGTTTTCATTAAATCATAAATACTTGGTGTTATCATACGTACATTGCTCGTGCATTCGTTTCCCTGGCCATGTGGTATTTTGAATG